CCCTTGTGTGTGTGTGTGTGTGTGTGTGTGGGGGGGGGAACGCAACTTCCAACAGGAGTCATTTGGGGGGCTCTTGGGAAAAAAGGTTGGGAACCACTGATTTAGAGCAATACTATAAATGTCTTTCAAAAGACCGTCTTTAAATGTGATTGAGCACACCATACTGTGTATATGCAGATGCCCGTAGATTAACTTGTACCACAAATGGCACATTTCAATGTCACCTGGCGATCGTACAACAGATGAGAAAAAAATGAAAATTGTTATGAAATGTCTGATAAACTTGGTGTATGCTATGTCATCATATGTCTAACAAATAACGTGTTCAGTGAAAATATGATTGTTCCTCATGTGTATCCACATTAGGAAAAAGTGGCATAACATAAACATATCAAGTTTTGCTTGTTTAGTTACTTTGAATAAAAAGCTACACTCCTATTATCTCATAGGGCCATTTATCTTTAGTGATTAACCACTTCACTGTAATTGCATAGAGCAAAAAAAACACTTTACTTCTGCAAGCCGGATTTATTTAGTTATTAGTTATTTAGTCTGACATTTGAATCGAGATATTCATCAATATGTTGAGTCTTTTCCCAATGTCATTTCATAACCTTTTCTCCCTGAGGCAATGCATAAAATATTTTCCATATTCATCAGCTCTCATATCGATCACCACTAATCTGATTGACAATTAATGGATAAAAGTTTAGCAACTTAAATATGGCGTATTAAGTGCAATGTCACTGTGGAGGATGTTGGTTTAATGTAAAAAAAGAACAACAACTAAAAGAGTCGTAAAAGGTGCTTCATCTTGTGAAGCTGTCAAACCCATGCTTGAATTTTATCAGTTTTAGGATAAGAGATAATATATTTATAATTTTTTCTGTGTGTCATATTGATCTGTTGTGTCTTCTTGTGTATTCTTGTCGCCAGCCACACATCCTTCAGAATGTCTTCGCTTTGAGAGTTGCACTTAACATTGTTAGTTTTGATATTCCTTACATTCTGAGTTAAGGCTTATATATGTCACGATTCTATGTCTAGGTTTGGGTGTTTTGCTGTTTTCCCTGTCATGTTTTCCTCCTGTTTATTGTCTGGTCCTTTTCCCTGGTGTCTAATTGTGTTCACCTGTGGCCCCTGTGTTTCCTCCTCCCTCCTCACCTGTGTCTTGTTGTGTGATTAGTCTTTTGTGTATTTAAGTGCTGGGTTTTTTCTGTCTGTCTTTGTCGGTTCGTCTTGTGCCATGACTAGTTCTGCGGTGAGTGTTCTGTTTTGTCATTGTATATATTTCATAGCCTTGAAAATAAAGGAGTTTTTTCAGTTTATAGCTGCATTTGGGTCCTGCTTGTTTCACAAACTGTGACAGCTTACCTAAAATAAAATCAGTTGCACAAAACACCCTCATAAAATCTTCACTTTAAAATAATGGTTTTCTTGTTATGTTGGTCTAATACAAACGGTATCCTAAAATAAATCAAACTGTTGTACATCTTACCTCCAGAAGAATAGTCGTTTCCTTTTTAGACCTACTTAAGGAAGAAGTTTTGTGAAACCAGACAATTGGAGTCTTCGGGCGTCATTCCTGTTGCCAGAAGCTTAAACTCTGGTGATCCCAGTGTTTTATCTGTCTTAAACAGCAGCCTCAAAACTCACCGGTCCAGCCTGCAAGGCAGCGGCAGAAGCCGGTCACCGGATCACATCCGTCTGCGTTGAAACAGTCGCATCTCTCTCTGCAGTCTAGCCCATATGACCCCTCCTAATAGCCAGAACACAGCAGACATATTGCATTAACAAAATTGACTGTCTTAACATCAGAATTGTTAAGTATTCTGATGATACAGTGTTATCATCTCTGTAAGGTAACACTGACAACAAAAGTGTTTGCGTGGAGTTATAGAACACTATTTGGTTCACCATCCATCTCTCATAAATACACAAGGTACTATCATATACAAACTCGAGTGGGATGATAGATCATCTTTTTTCCAGTAATTACATGGAATATGTTGGTAAAAGGACCAAACAAAGAATTTGTTTCACTGCATTAGGTTTTTAGGGCAATTACACAAATTCTTTTTTTCCCTTTCACATCTGCGTTTGTCAGGCATCTACAGTATAGCTGTTATAGATGGTAAAAATATTGTTTATCACTTAAAAGTCAAAACTGCTCCACCATATCATCAATGGATTAAAGATTGTAGGTCAAGCCTTCGAGAAACTTTGAATCCGTTTACCATTACAACTCTCTGACCCAAACCATGTCGAGAACAGCACATTTGAATTGTTCCCATCATTATTGTATCGTATGTTGCATTGTACAGCATCGTATGATGTGTCATATTGCATCTGTATCTCATTGTACTCGTATCATACTTCATTGTATCTTGTATTATATGGTATATTGTATCGTATCTTCTATTGTATCGTACCTTGTATTGTACAGCATCATATCATATTGCATCGTAACTCATTGTACTCGTATCATACCGTATCTTGCATTGTATTGTATAGCGTTGTATCATATCGCATTTTATTATACAATTTTCTATTGCATTACATTGTATTGTTGTTATTTAAAGAAGCTCAAACCCTTTTTTCCCCAAACTTTGCTGCACCTTATTTTCCTCAAAAGAACTAAAGATTGCACTTACAGGACACGGTAAGTCGCAGTACTCATCCCTCCAGCCCGGGGAGCAGGTGCAGGTGCCGTTGGAGGGGTCGCAGGCCGCCTCGTTGGCACACTGACAGGTCTGGTTGCAGCTCAGTCCCCAGGTACCACTGGAGCACGGGATGGAGCAGTCCACACCCTGCCAACCTATCAGAGACAGAGACACCGTCCAAAGACCATCAGACAGCCATTTAAAGCACTTAGTTTTAGTCAATTGTACTTCCTGAGCACCTGTGAACTCCATTATTTCCATCAGTTATTTTAAAGTACTCAACTAAGTAATTGCTGAGATCTTGGATCACAGTTACATTGCTACAATTAAGTCATACAGGGCTAGAAACACAAGCTGTCAAGTTGTAGAAGTTATAAGAAGTAAACCACTATATTGGAGGGTACAATTTAACTACCTGACACTGAATGTTTAATGCCTATTTGAAAATAAAATCTACTTATACCCAAAATACCCACAGAGAAGTGTAGGAAGTCAATCTGTTGACTGTGAATATTTGGAAAATAACTTAACACTTAACATTGGTTTTATTTGGGGGTTTCTTTACAAAACTTATCTGATTGCTTGTGTTTTTTAGAACCGTTTTAATAAATGTTAGCAATGCGGTAAAATGTTCTGATATCAGCAATCCACAATGGGAATACATTTGTATTATTTAGACCAGGGGTCGGCAACCCCTGGCACGCGTGCCATCATTGGCACGCGGCACCATAACCAGTGGCACACTAGGAATAAGTGGAATAAGAGTGCAACATATTTAAATTGTATTTTCGGATCCTGAACGAGACCCCCGCCAGAGCGCGTCTCCCCGTTACCTGCAGAAGGAAGCCATGCACGCAACGCAGCCCCGCTCTCCTTGACTCCAGGTGACTTTCCTCCGTGGTGCAGTGCTGATCGTTTCACCACGGAGGAAAGCACTTCACTAATTGCAGTACCCATAAGGAGCTGTACAAATGCCGCAGTTTTTGCGTGGCTGTGTATTTAGTTGAAAGCCCAGTGGCGATCTGCTCATCTCTCATCGAAATAATATGCTACAAAGGGGCGGACTGGCCATCTGTGTGTTGAACTTTCCTGTCGGCTCCCAGACCGTAGTCGAGGAGGGCAGAAGCAACAAGCTTCAGGTTCAATAACCCACTTTAGCTTAAATGACTGGAGAGAGGCGAGCTCTTCTTGGGAGGCCGTTGCATTTATTTAGCTGTTCTTCTGTTTCACAAAATACATCACAGACCTCTGTTTTTCTGCTCCCTCGTTTCACTTCCAGAAACATACACAACGTTCCCTCACTGTAGCTCTACCATCCACAAACACACATGCAAAAGCCACACCCTCTTCTCTCTCTCTTAAAGGGACAGCGATCTCATCTCACTCTGCATGACCCTGACATCATAACATGTGTGCTCTGGAGAATCACAGAACGGACGATCGTCCTTATTATGATTATGCCGTTTAAACCAACTATTAAATGTGTTTGTTAAATTCGGCATCATAAGTTGCGTTGACAGGTCCAGACACTGCTTCCCCGTAGCGAGGCTCCCCCCGCCCTCCTGCTGATAGTTGACGAACTT